CGCAAGGCCTCATGATGCCGCCCCCTGAAGTCCCTGTCTCTTATACACATCTAGATGTGTATAAGAGACAGGGCGGGGGGTGGATTGGACGTCCGGGGGGGGTGGCTTGCATGGGGGTTCAGATTCGGGGGATGATGGCGACGAGCGCAGATGGTTAACATGCAGTGACGCGTTTCGCCACGCGAGGGCCCCCTCTAAGATTGTGTTCCCGTTTCGCCCCGCTGCACGCGCACAGTGTGCCACGTCTCCCGCCGACGCTTGGTAGTTGTTAACCGACCTCCGAGAGAGGTCGGCTTTATAGGGTATTTGAAGGTGCATTGTGAAGTCAATGTGATGGTTGGTCTGCGCCAGGAATGACGAGCGGCGCCTTTTATTACTCTTTTTTGAAAACGACAGTCCGATTTCGATAGGGTTTTGCAAGTGTGTTCATTGGACGGAGTCTAGCAATGGAACGGTGTGTCCCGTTGGAATATGACGATGCGTTTCCTCAAAGCTCTCTTTCTTGTGATTGGTATGAATGTCGTTTTCTTCATGCTGATTGGTTTATTGTTTGGAACGGTCATTGTTTGGCAATGTGATGGCAAGTATGATCATCTGCGAGTGTGTTAATTGGACGGAGTCCAGCAATGGAATGTTGTGTCTCGTTGGAATATGACGATGCGTTTACTCAAATCACACTTTCTCCTGTTTGGTGTGAATGTCCTTTTCTTCGTGCTGATTGGTTGATTGTTTGGAATGGTCGTCGGTTGCCAATGTGATAACAAGTATGATCAGTGCACCTCAGTACGGATAGCTTTGCCGGCAAGCCGATGAACTGATCCAATGATCGGTTGATCGGTTGGCTGCCAGACTTGTCCAAGTTAGGGTGTGATGCTCCACGAAGTCGGGCATTGGTGGTGGACAGGGTTCCGGTGTATTGATGAAAGCGCACTGAAAATTGCGCAAAAAACGCATTCCCGCTTCAATCTTGCTGAGGAGGCAACAGATCAATGAAAGGCGCACACATCGCCCCTAACATACAAACCGCTATACGCAAAATAAAAAACAAAAAATGAAAGACAATAAAACCAAAAAAAGTGAAAGAGAAAAAAAAGGCATTTGGATTGCAATCACATACACGAAACCACACCATCGTCCCAGAGCACCGATAGCCGCACACACGCAGCGGAAACTTCAGTCTACGGTACACATTTGAAAAAAGGAGAACAATAACGAGTCACCTCCGGAAAGATCACCCCACCGACAGACACCGTCTTCTTCGAAATCGAAATCGCGCAGCTGCGTGCACTCACTCACAACAAACTGCATCACCGGGTGTTAACAACCTACTACAAAATGGTTAACAAAAAAAAAGGAAAAGAACTGCGGATGAACAACATCTCCGCCGACGGCTCCGCGACATTAGCTATCAATGACAAACCGCAGTGAATGTACACAACACCCCAGGCACGGCACACGCCTGCGACAACGACAGAGCACAGAACGCCTCCGTTGGACGATGACCCCAACACGACCTCCACAAGGACGGCAGAGCCACGTGCCGTCGACGCGGTGCGCGCCTTCACGCGTGTTTCATCCGCTTCGCCAACGCCTCGCGTAGCACCAATGCACGGGGCCGATTGAAGTTCTCAACAATGGGGTGCGGTGGATGATCCAACCCCAAGTCCACTCGTCGCCGCATGTCATTAGCATCCACCTCCCACAGCAAGTTCTCGTCGAACTCAATGCCAACGTCAAGGAGGATGTTGTGCAGAATGCACACGGCCTGGAACTGTTGTGGGAGAGTGTCCATATTCGTCTTGTGTGTGCGGAGGAACAACCTCCACATCCCTTTCAATCTCCCGAAAGCTCTCTCCACTGCTCCCCTGACGACCTTTTGCTTGTTGTCGAACCTCTCCTCGTCGGGGATTTGATCGGTCCCCCCGTACGGCATGACAATCCACTCCAGCGGCGTATACCTGTTGTTGCCCAGAATGTAACCGTGTGTCCTCACTCCAAACGACAACACAACAGGAGCTCCATGGAAAAGATCCCCCTCCTCCGCACGCGCCCACAGACTGGAGAGCTGAAGCACCCAAATGTCATGGCAGCTCCCTGGGTAACTGACGAAAACATCCGTGATGCGCAAGTCCAGGTCCACCACCACCTGCGCTACAACGGAGAAACGATGCTTCCGGTCGAAGTAGTTCTCCGAAGGAGCGTTCGCTGGTTTGTCGACGTAAACGTGCGTGCAGTCTATGCAGCCATAGCAGTTGGGAAAGCCCTTCGCCTCGAAGGCACGCAGAACGAGCGTACGACGCATCCCAGTAGGCCAAACGATCTTGTCACTGTACACCCTCAGGAGCGCCCTCGTAATGTCCTCCACTGCAATCAACCCGGATGCGCGCCCTATTCCGAATGACGACGTGCTGCTCTCGTATGTCTCCACGCTCGCCCATCGGTACAACGCATATGCGATGATGTGATCAGGCTGCAAAGGAACTCTGTAGCCTAGTAGAATGTCACCCGGCGCTACAGAAGAGGGGACAACGCCTCCACGATCTCCATGAACTCCCTGGGGGACATCCTCAACTTTTCCTTGTAATACTCGTCTAAGGCGTCGTCCATCTTCCGCAGATCCTCCCACGTGCTACCTGTCCTTCTCCTCATCCACCACCTTGGAGTCGCCCGCGGTATCACCCCAGATGACATGGCGGCGCACAACTGGATAATGGATTCGGACATGGACACGCAGTCTGGCGCCGCCATCACGTGCTGGAGGAGCTCACACTGCCTGCGAATAGACACTCTCGTCCTTAACCGCGCCGTCGTTCTTTCGATGCGACATCGCATGGCCACCGCCGACACTGCTGCAACCACCGCATTTCTCTCCACCCTGCTCAAGGTCTTGCCGCGAACCTCCTGCGACACGTTCCATCACGATGCTCCGACGGCGCCTTGTTGAACACGCACAACAGATGGACGACTGGACCCTCGTCGCACACTGTCCCAGCGGACGTTGGAGTGGTCGAGGACAGCTCCTCGTACACGAATCACGGGCGCGCGAAGCTATGGCGAGCCACCGGATCGTCGTCGTCTGCAGGAAGAGAAAAGTGGGACACACACCACTTCACGCGCTCCAACGTCGTCACCTTTCGCGCTGCGCCGGCTGACGATCGGATGAACGAGTCGCCAACAGCAATGGGCGCCGCAAATCGTCCGCGCACACTTTTCCGCACACTGGTAGCTCCAGGGGTGGTAACGCCACGGCACGCTGGTGCGTATGTAATGACGGTTTGAAATTCGAATTTCGAAAAGGAACCTTCGCGCCTCTTTTCGCAGCGCAGCATCGCAGGCCTCCTTGCGCCGCCAGTGGACCACGCCTGACAAGGGACGGACATCCCTCGACGACGACGGACATCCTCCCCCGCGGCCTCGTATATGCGTATGAAATTGGCCGCGGGATACCTCCAAGGTTTTTCCTTGGGACCCTTTCGTTTAGGACGCGGTGTAACGTCCTTGAAATTTTCCGAGGACTTCGTCCTAATTCCTGAGGATTTTTCAAGGAGGGTCTAACGAGGCCCATACATACATATGGAGAAAATGGGCCTGGCTGCACTACTCTCCAAAAGTGCAAAACGAGAGTGAATCTTCCGCTAGATTATGGAAAGATACATCGCTGTGATTTTTGTCTTTTGTGCATGTCGAGAGTAGTGCAGCGAGGCCCAATGGTGGTCCCCCTCGACCGCGGCGGCATTGAAGCAGAAGTGTTTTTTTTTTTTGTTGTTTTTGTTTAATCATTGAAGTAGAAGTTAACAAAGGGCATCGCCACACCACTCTCGAAATGTGCAAAATGAGAATTAACTTGTCGCTAGAACACGATCAGATGCACCCTCCACATTTTTGTCTTTTTCACATTTCGAGAGTGGTGTGGCGAGGCCCAAGAAAACAAAAAACAACGCCGCCTCGTGACGCTGTAGGCATGATGGCCACATCACCTCCACTCAGAGAAGGGAATGTGAAAAAGACAAAACAAAACCTACGGCGGCTGTATCTTCCCTTGTTTCTGCATCAGGTACATGTGCTCCATTTTGCACATTCCGGGAGTGGCGCGGCGAGGCCCTGTGCAGCAATCATGGGTAGTAGCAATTGCTTCACGCTCTTTGGATTCCCACTTTGCAGGGACCTCGCTGCTGGGGGGTGCGCTGAACGGCCATGGGCCCTCGCTGCACTACTCTCGACATACACAAAAGACAAAAATCAATCATGGTCGTGCATCTTTCCATGTTTTAGCGGAAGATTCACTCTCGTTTTGCACATTCCGAGAGTTAAAAAAAAAAAAAAAAAAAGTAGTGCAGCGAGGCCCATGGGCACTGGGCCTCGTGCTCAATGCTCAACAAACAACGGCAGATCTCTGGCGCTATATATTCTGCACGCCCGAGATCTCGGGGTTTCACATCCGCCCGCCGACCTGCGCAATTGATGTCATCGAATGCCGATGCGAGACGGCTGCGCGGGCGTAGCGGGCGGAGCGTGCGGAGCATTTGGGGGGAGCGGGGGGCAGGGGAAGAAGGTACGCGAGTGCGCACATGGAAGTAGAGAGCAGGTAGCAGAGCAGGGCAGCAGGGAACGTGAGCTGCTGCTGGGCGGGGCCAACGTGGAGCAGCGTGTGCGCGTGGCGAGTGTGTGACATTCGAGATACAGGCAGGGCCGGTGCAGCGTGAGCGCGCGGCGAGTGTGCGACATTCGAGGTTACAGGAATTGCCGAGCCAACGTGGAACAGCGTGTGCGCGTGGCGAGTGTGCGACACTCGAGATACAGGATCAGGGCCAACGTGGAGGAGGGTGTGCGCGTTGCGTTGCGTGGCGTGGCGTGGCGTGGCGTGGCGTGTGTGAGCCAGTGAAGATCTGTGACGCTAGCTCTTCGTCTTCTCGTCACACACCACGGCGGCTCAATCCCTGTCACCTATCATCTAGATAGATAATTAGGGGAGGGGAGGAGGTAGCTGCTTGAGGCGCCAGGTAGGCGAGAGAGGAGGAAGGCGCTTCACTGATCGATTCAACCATGAGCTTCGGATCCAGGGCCAGAGCTTTTATGAACCATCCCGCTGGACCTCGAACAAGTAAGAGCATACTCACACTTGGTAGCACTATGTTAAATGTACCTGACTGTAATCACGGCCCTACTTGAATGCATCTGACCACAATCACGTCCAGAAGTAAGCCAAAAAGTCCCAGTGTGAGTATGCCCTAAGTAAGTTGAAATTCGCTCCGCCGCTCGAAGAAGGAGAAGCGAAACGAACTGCGGCGCGTTCGGCCATCGCCGCGCGGCACCGCGCCGCCGCACTTGGTCGGAATGATCGCCATGCGCCATCGCCGCCGCGCTAACGGAGGAGGTAAAACTGTGGTGGCTGGCGTGTTGCTGGTGGTGTGTGAGAGAATGCTACCTTGTCTTTCCCCCCGAGCACAACGCATCCTTGCGATGACTGACTGTATTGGACCGGAATGATAGCTTCTATACATATTCAAGATCGCGGTGCGTTGTGTTCGGGGGAAGACGGGCAGGGCAGTCTCTGCCTGCTTTTAACTTCAAATTTAGATCATCATTTCTCGATTATGTGTGTCGTCCTTGCGCACAGGGGGCCATGCTAATCTTCTCTTCTCTCTCTGTATCGTTCCAATTTAAACGGAGGCGCCGAAGGACGGTGCTGCATCTTTCAGGGGCCTCGCCACACAACTGGCGAACTGAAAGCGAACAGATGCATTCTGCCGCAGAAACTGGTAAGATGCATCCATTGCTATTCATAGCAACGGATGCATCTTCCCGCGGTCTCCGCCGGAAGATGCATTCGTTCGGTTTTTCCGTTTCGACAGTGGTGTGGGGGCGAGGCCCTCCGCCGCCCAGAACAGCAAGATGCACGCACGCATTTCGCACGTCAGTCGGCGCTCTTGCGACACGTCAGTGCCACTTGTAGTGAGTGCGTGCTTGTGGAGTGTTTTTTTTTTTTTTTTTTTTTTTTTTTAACGGACGTCCGGTGACCGGACCCGGACGTGCGGCTCTGCAACAAGCTTGCCCGCTTGGGCGTCTTGCCGAACCGCTCACCCACCAAAGGTGAGAAAGACGCAAAAATTATGAGGCGCTCCACTCGCCAAATGTATTTTTCCGCGTTCTCGCGGGAGATGCATTCTCGTTTTCCACAGTTGGTGAGTGGAGCGGCGAGGCCCGCCATCTCTCTCATTGATTCTGTCGAGGGAGAGTGTTGCTCTGCTCTGTCAGCTGCTCCGGGGCTACAGTGTAGGTCCCACTTGCACGAATTACGAGATACTGACCGTAGATAGCAAAAGATCAACGGCCGAAATCTCTTAATTTGTGCAAGTGGGACCTTGCCGCCGGACAGTCGAGTCGAATTGAATCCCGTCATCATGATGGTGGCTCCACGTGGGCGGCCTTGTACGCAAGAGGAGGTTCTGAACAGGGGGAGTTATAAGGAAGAAGATAAAACAACTGAATTCCTTTTTTCCTGTTTTTCTTTCTTTCTTTTTTTTTTGTTTTTTTTGTTTTTTGTTTTTCGCATTGGCGCTCTGATATTCTTGTGACAATATGTTGTCACATTGTGAATCAGAGCGCAAAAAAGGGGAAAGAAAAAAGGAAAAGGAAAAAAGGGGGAGGGGGAAGAGGTAAGGAAAGCTGCACCTGTTCATAACCTCTTACGTACAAGGCCAGCCACGTGGATGACAGGTTGAGCGCTGGCTGCCCCCATCCCGGTGTGTCACAAGGACCCACTTGCACGCAGCCAAAAGGCAAAGAGGTAAAGAAGGGGAGGAGGAAACCAAACCTGACAGGGAAAGAAAGATAGGGAAAGAAAGATAATCCAATTATCACAAAGCAAATAACACATCCCACAGATCAACGTATCTTTTTTCTTTTTTTCTTTTTTTCTCTTTTTTCTTTTTTTCTTTTTTTCTCTTTTTTCTTTTTTTCTTTTTTTCTCTTTTTCTTTTCTTCTTTTTTTCTTTACCTGCCCCCACCTCGGCAGATAGGACAGCTACGGTGAGGATGATGTGGATGTTCACAAGGATGCCCAGCTGCGCCAGCACAGCATTCTGCAGGACGGCTAGCACGAACCATCCCATCAAAACAGTCCTGACAGAGGACGTGTTGTCCACATGTCAAAAACACGGCAGGACGTTCATCACAGTGCGGCATCATACAGTTCTGATAGCGTCCTTGGGCACAATAGGGACAACGCATATCTGGGTGATAGGGATGTGTACAATGAGGAAATGTTGGACACCCTTCAGGACAGACGGCGGCAGTCGCAATAGATTGATAATGGCTATGG